TCTCTCTCTCTCTCTCGAAGAGGCACTCAGTGTGCTCTACGATAAATAGAATGCGAGAACAGCAGATAGAGAAGTTCAAGTTTCTCCTTGTAGCACTCTGAAGTGATGACAGACAGTACATAGAAGCAGAAACAGAAATCTTCCAGGCAAGTAATGCATTGCAGGTGCTAAACTGGTCTGTCGTGTATGAACAGAGATGAACAATAGGCAGATATATCTGCCTTCAAGTCTGTTTAGCATCAACGGTTACTAAAAAATATCTTTCAGATAATGAAGAGCCTGATGATGATGAATTTTATGACGCTTTGAGTGGTGCGCTCTCTTCGTAAGAAAGTAAGCCTCAAAGTTTGCACTCCTAGTTACTGTTCTACCACAGGTGCGCTTCTCTAGCGAAGTCTGTTGAGAGTGTGAATAACTTGCCAGACTTGGACGACATTAATCAGCACAACAAACACCTCACATACGAGTATATCGACTTCCTGTTGGCCAGCGAAAGGCCGGAAACGCGCGAACGAATGTATCTTTTGCTGAACCAACACGCAGATTTTGTAAGTGCACACATTTACATTATAAACTCTGAAGTTATCGCAGTGATTTTTCATTCACATTGACAGTGCACAATGTTACATTTTATATTGCATGAAACTGAAACTGATCGTTAAATTTCAAATATAATAATCATGGAAAATCAATACACACAACCTGAATTGGATGCATCTCAGTAGCTAAAAAACCTACCAACGAAAATAGGGAGGACAGAGTTGCTTAGTAGATCATAATGTATCACCGAAGCATTATATTAGGCAGTATAATGCGTTTTCATGTACGACGTTCTGTATTCTTTTACAAATGATGTTTCAAGAAGAAACTTCTAGGACTTGCAGCATTTGACTTAAACGGGTAGCTGGACAGTTCTTTGGCAAATAAAGTGATGTGAGATGGATTTAGCACTGCGGATTATGAAATGTCAAATGCTATGGAACAGATCTGCGGCCTATATAAATGCCCATACCTCCTGTCCCAGAGACAGTTATGAGTAAGAGAGCGATGTAACGCGCGTAAAATATGGTCTTGGATGAGTTATGTGCCTATTAGCATTCTCTGACATACAAATAACATTTTTATGGTCGAGTGATACAGCCATTAAACTGCACGATATATTTTGATTCTGTGATTTGGATAAATTTATATTGACAGAGATAATCTGTCCAGTTATGGCAAGGTGCCTTCTAGAAGGCTTGCTCCATATTGAAAAGGCAGCGTTTTGCTTTCGCCGCATTGATTTTAAGACCGGTTTCAATGCACCGACTGAATGACTGCTGTAGTAGCTGTGTTTCATTGTAGTGAAGCGGCAGTGCTAATCATACCAGTGAGAATTACGATTTACTTGCCTGCTTTTACCGGCGTGGATTGTAATATGACTTCCATATTCTTAGATGCCCAGGGACCATTTCTGGAGTCTACGATTGCAAAGTGTTTGGTTTTACCATGAGTTAATATGATGTGTGTCTGTAATAGAAGTTTTGAAATGCTTAGATGCGCTACAAGTGCCGTAATGCAACGAAGGCGTATTTTACTTAAATGACCTTGGTCCTCCAGAAGTACAGGTGAAGTGCTTTTAAGCTATGTAGGCAGGTAAAACTCTTCGTGAAATAACTATTGTCAGTGTTGAACTTGAATTTTAATGCTGCATTTAATGCTGTGATTATAGATGGTATCAGGTTGTTCGATCACATTATTAAGGCTTTCCTTTACTAGTTCATTACTTTACTCTTCGCCAGATTGAAAAAATTCCGTTTTGTTCTACGTGCTAATGTTAGTACGCTGGCGTCCAAAATCAACCGGTGTCTGAATATTTGTTACTCCAGTGCTTTTCGTTGTTTCTCTTGTCATGGACATATCAATTGCAATGTGCAGTTTGCCTTTAGTAAGGGTATTTATTTTATGTTTAGGTTTTTTAATGTTTTTTCCTTTTACAGCATAAAGACGACTTCGAATTCTTATGGCGATTTGCTCGATGCACATTTCTTTATTCCCAGAATTTCAATGACGTTGATGAGGAAAAGAAAAGAAAACTTTGTTTCGAAGGTAGTACAATAAGAAATATCTAGTTTCAGAAATTTTAACTCAGAAAATTGTGTTGCGCAGATCACCAGTCAAGAGAGGTGTTTGTATTTATGTCTGGAATGTTTTTTCTGTGGTTGCAGATTTGAAATTACTTAGAAAATTGACTGATGATCAATTGTAATCATTAATTCTTTGATGCTGATACTATACCATTGTTTATATTCCGATAATATTTGAAACAGGCTGATATATTTAGCGGTGAAAAGATTCATTTACAGGTAAAATGACGTCAACAAAATATGTCTCTATAGCTTTATCTGTTTCTCGGTATTTTTAATGAGTTATTACTACTAATTCAGTCCCATGAAGGCGATGGTTTATTATCTTCGAACGCTAAGTATTCAGCTTCTCTTGTTAGAATTGTCCATATGTTGTTAAATCCGACTCATGTGCATTTCTCCTGTAAATACTCATAGTTAAAACCCTAAAATGCCCTTGAGACAAACTTCGAGATGTTTGCTTAACTTATTGATTTATTGAATGGTGTAAGAAATTGACGACATTCTCGCCTTCTTTGCTGTGACTTATACGTTATCTAATTCAGCTTATAAATTAAATGTACTTAAAATTAACACATAAACGTTGGCGATAGCCAGTCAATCTTGTTACCTGGATTTATTAACTAATTGTTGAAAGGTGCCGCCCAACCGTATCACATACAACATGGTTGATAGATCCATTCAGGACTACATCGATCAGGAATCCAGTCTTTTACAGTGTAGTCATTGCGTCAATATAGTTTATATCCGTAATCTGTTTATAAATTGTTCCTTTCTGCTGACATGTCAATAGCGGTTAATATGTCGACATATATTTATGCTGACTAGTGCATAAGAATTTTTTGACAATTGCTTAAGATATGATAGTCGAGTTATTACTGCAAAATGTGAGCTTTCTAGAAGCAGTAACTCAAATAATGCCTGCTGCACTGATATGTCAATATTGTAATGCTAACAGTTACTGGCGGAAAACAAACTTTGGCATATGCTTAATAGTCAGTTCTTTTCTTGCATTATGCTTGTACATTTGTTGGATTTTTTGGAATGTTTAATGCACCGTGCGACTGTAGCACATCATTTAGTGTATGCTTTTATTAACGCAGTTTTCAGCAAAGAAGTATGCATACAAAGCGTTGGAGTTGAAAGAAGATGATGCGAATGTGCAAAAATGGTGTGCAGTAACAGTTGGAGCATTGAGCGATTTTCTTGGTTTCAAATATAAGCTTCAGAACGGTTTCACATGCAGGGTATCATTTAAAGCATGTTTGTAATTTCTCAGTTTTATCAAGTTTTTCTAGGAGCACATCCTCAAATCCCTTAAACTGAATCCTGACGACTGGTTCTCTCATTATATTTATGGTCGATGGTGCTTCACGGTTGCTGCTCTTAGTTGGGTCGAGCGAAAAGTAGCCAGCACTCTCTTTGAAGAGCCACCAATCGCTACATATGAAGAAGCTCTGACAGAATTTCTTGAGGTTTCCTTGATGGTTATTTCTTGATTTCTTATTTTTTGTCCTTTCTGGTACAAGACCTGCTGTCTGTGAAAGTCGACAGTCTCAATTTTACGAAATCCCTGTCTTCATCTTTTACTTGGTAGACTTTATCTTTCATGAGCGAAACACTACTGTAGAGTCGGTATAAGGATGAGCGCTTGCAGCACTCTGCTGCATCCTCTTGTATTTTTAACTGAAACTACAGGTAGGACATGGAGCATTGGCGCAGAGGAGAATCAGGAAGATCGGCAAAGCAGCTGGAGATTGACAGTCAGCTTTCCAAGAAATAGGACAGTTGTCTGGTGTGCAGGGGACTGAATCTGCTTTATCGTACTAAAGCATAATGCCAATGAATGCATTTAAAAAATGGTTGAGAATATTAGCATTAGCATTAGAACCATTAAAATTACCCCTTAGTCTATTGTGTCGAAAGTATCATACCTTTCAGTTAATAGGGGCAAACTATAATTTTGTATTTGTACCTTATTTAATGCAATCGCTGTTAATTAATCTGCGTTTTAACAGCTTATTTTAAGGCCGAAAGATTGCAGCCTATAGCATGGAAAGAGAACATGCTTTACATAGCGAAATGTCATCTTCAGATGGGAAACAACGAGATGGCACATGAATACTTGAATGCTGCTGACGCCATTCCTGTCACTTCAGCAGAAGTATGAATATTGTTCCTTTGGGTTTTGTTATGAATCGTTCAAATTATAGGATGAAGCCGCACAGGCTGAAATTTCAGTTATGTTATCTCAGTTTTGATTTGCTGGTCTGCTTTAGGCAAGACTGGTTTTTATGCATAATTGTGTTTCACAGTATTGTGATTGTCAGTTTATATGTTACTGTAGTAGTAATCTAGCCTGATGTCATACCGAAAACGTAACTGTGGATAAATACAGTGGTTGATTCTCATTGATGTAAGGGGATCTTACACTATTGGACCTTACAACCTGAGTTGCTCAGAAAAGATTGGTTCAAGTCTGTCCAAGTTCTGTCGTGAGTTTTTTATTCCTAGTTTAAAAAATATTGTTTGACTTCGTTATTGCTCTACATACAGATGTCGCACAACATTCCTGATATTTTGGATCGTTCTTAGTGGAGCTTCATAGATCAGTTTACAACATTGCAAAAAGTTCATTGATTACAATCAATATAATATATTTCACAATTCAGCTATTTATGATAACTTTTCCTTTAGCATTAAAATTTTTCTTAGTTTAAATGTTTTAAATTTTAAATTACGTTTACGCCTTGGTTTAGTCGGCTGTCAGGTGGGTCTAAGCTAATTGCAGCCGTAAGGCGCATTTATTAGACAGCATCGCCTTATATCTCACACGCTTTCACATGAGCACACCAAAGCACCACACTGTTTCTCTCATTCATAGGTCATTGGCCTGGTAATCTTTTTTTCGCTGGTTGCATCTACAAGTAGATTCAAATGAATCAGCGGTTGATAAGATGAAACTAAGTTAGAACCGCGCGTTAGGTTTGAACCCGTCACTTTAACGTGAAAAGCAGCCTGCTGTCCCATTCTTTCCTTCCCCAAACTGTATAGCAATCACTTGCATTTATGGTTAACTACTGGCATGGCTTTTGGGCTTGGCTGATCATAATAACTGCAAGACGTATTTGACGCACTTTTTGAATAACTGCGTTACATGGAATGTTTCGTTTCAAACAGAACCATTTAATTGCAAATATCTGCAGATCTGATTGTAGGTAAAAGTGTATTCACAGCTGGAGCTTATTACTTTTCACTGTGACATGCTTTTTAAAGATTCTGAACTACCCAACCTGTTACTCAGAATTCTTCATCTTCATCTTCCATCGCCGCTTCTCCTTCCGGGTCGCGGAGGCAGACGCGTCAGACAGTGCTT